ATGGGTTCTCAGTAAGAGAAATCGAAGAAATTGAATTTCGTCGATTACAGCGCCATCTATCATGAATCGAGAAAAATGTTTCAGACAAATTGTATGTGTTTTTAGCCAAAGATTCCGAATATGCAATAAAAAATAGGGGTTCCCATTTAAGATTTCAAACTTGCCCCCCCTCACCGCCCAGGGGGAGGGGTGGGGGGGCTAATTTTAACGTCATTGTACGTCCCCCTCGAAATGACGAAATTTTGATTCTAAACATTTTTTCGTAGTGTGCTTATTTTTCGAGTTATTTGGCTGCCTAAGTTAAAATGGGTCACCCTGTATATGCAAAGATACATATACATAAGTGCAAAAAGTTACTTGCAAGCTACTATTGGACGTGAATGTAAATTAACCTCCATCGCTTACTTTTGTTTTTTCTTCAGGCAGTTGTCTCGGCAAAGATTATCATTGAAATAATTAACAGCTATGGTCGTATGGAACAAGTTTTATCGTGAAAATAAAAATTTTCACTATTTATGATGTATTGTACAAAGTACATCGATAACTGACATTAAGCTAAGGCTAAATCTCAGAGAAACATACACTATTTCTGAAAGCAAACGGAAAATTCTTATTAAATGTAAACATCACCTCTCTCAAGCTAGCAGGACCAAATGAGCAGAATCGAATGGGACCTATCGCATTTTTTAGTATTCATTTTGTACTATTTTGTACCACAAAAAAAATTTGTACCACGTGCCGTTTTAAAAAAAATGGTGGCGCTGCTAACTTGATATCAAGCTAGCAGGATCAAAAAAAAAAAATAAAAAAATAAATAAACCCTAGTACACACAATTAGTACTGAATTTATACTAATTTGTACCATTCGAAATAAATTGAAAATTTTATATTTTCCCCTTTAAACAACCCCTCTCTTATCTAAATCTAATATAAAGATAGCAGGATCACGATTTTTTCACTTTTTTTTGATGGTACAAATTAGTACAAATTCAAAAACGATAAAATCTATCATTTCTTGTCGTTTTTTACCAGTTTTTATTTTGTTCTCTTTATATTAAGTTAGCAGGACCACAATATTTTTTAAATAGTACGGGGTACAAAATTATGTTTTATGGTACAAAATAGTACACAATGAGTAATAAAAAACGCAATAAATATAATTTGATTCTATCGATTTAATTCTTAATAATCGAAAGAGAAAAATTTTATTTTTGAGGTTGTAGAGGTATAAACTGAGAGAGGTGTAAACATCGCTTTCCATACATTTACATAACATTTCTGATAATGAGAAATTATTCTTGCGCTCGCGTTTATACACAGCTAATTAAGAGAAATTTACTAACAGTCATTTAGTTTATCTTGAAATTTATCTCGTACATATTGCACTTGTATTTTTATCTCTTCATGTTTTTATGATGTATTTAAACTCACAAAGACATCACGGTTAAATCTACCAAGTCAAGTCGTTTATCACTTGATAGATGATAGTTTGATATCTTTATTTTTCTAATAGATACACGATGTAGAAATCTATGTATCGATGTATTAATCTATTATTAGCTTTTAGGCGAGAATATTTGAAAAAATACAAACTTCTCCACAATCTCTATAGTATATTTAGTTCTTTATGGTTCATTTAGTTGTTAGGAAAAATAAAATTAATCCTAAGTTGAGCCCGTGTATATCGCTTGGTTGCATCTTGCGGTGACATCCTCCGAATATTTGGTTATCATATATTACATAGCCAATCGTTTATATAAGCCTATTGTTTATATAAATGTGAACTTAAATCTCTTTCCAGACCGTATCAAAGATACACGCGGAAATCGAAGCTAATGCAGGCCAAGGTTCGACATGGATCAGCGATTTATCGTCTGCCAATAAAACGAAGCTTAATAATGTAATATGTTATATATATCTTTACTTTTTATCACTAACAGCACTCAATTATTGCATCATATATATCATGCATACGATGGATGTAATCTGTCGTCATATAATCCTGCTTGTTTCATCCTGCATGTTTCAAGATAATCAATTGATAGCCGTATTCTGAAAAATTACATGAAGAGTGCAATTTTTTACAGCTCGCGTATAAAAATATTTAAAACCATTTTATTGTTTTGCAATTACCGCATACACGATATGAAATGTTATAAAGTGAGAATTTCTGCGATAATATTTGCAAAAACTTTAATACGTGAAGGTTGTTATTGTGAATGTTTTCATGGTTGAATAATTATAATTAATAATACTTGTATACTAGATTTGAGGCTTTCACGGCCATTGATACAATGTCTAGGTATAGCTTCCGGAATGGAGCCGTGTCTTGAATCAGCGATATGTCGACGTTTCGCAAACGTTGCAGTTTGCATCATCAGGGCTGAGAACTCTGATACTGTATCAGAGTTCTCAGCCCTGATGATGCAAACTGCAACGTTTGCGAAACGTCGGCATATCGCTGATTCAAGACACGGCTCCATTCCGGAAGCTATACCTAGACATAATAATACTTGTATTGCTGTACAGAACGAAACTCGTTAACTTACTTTGATTAAGAATAATTACTTTAATTAAGAATAATTATATTATTTTGTTGCTGATTACATAATGTTTCGTTTGAAGTATTATGTAATCCATAATAATCGTGCTTGACAAACATTTTAATGTAACAACCACTTGTGTTTAGATTACCGTTATCTTGTGCATATCGATCGTGACTTTTCGTTTTGCTTAACTCGTAATTATTCGCGACGTTGAATTAAATCGAACTATTGCGTGTTTTATAACAACTTCCTGGTATTTTTCCTCCTGTGTGTTAGCTATTTATCCGAATATGTACAAAGTTTCAGTGCTTTACACGTAATTACTGCTTAGTAGTGATTATTACTAAAAATACTAAATATAATTTGATTAATCCATTTTATTTGACGATATATTTTTTATATATACAGTCAACATTGCGCCCGAATCGTTTGTATGAATTGAAAGATGGAAGTATCATTGAGTTTGGTCAAGTGTGTGCTATTTATCACACTTATCGTCCAACAAACGACATAGTGATACCGGAAACACCGGCACCAACACGGCAAAAGGTTGCTGGAACCATAATTCCGAACACTCCGGATTCGTCCGTCGTAAGTACTTTTTTATATATAAAATTAGTTTTATATTCATGTAATAGTCAAAATGTTTGTGCAATATTTTAGAACAATTCATCTACCGCGGACGATGATGGGTCCGTCATCCTCGGGACACAAACAGAAAATGAGAAAAATGTATTTCGACGGCCGCTGCTTCCGCAACAACGTCAATCCACGAGCATCGATAAAAATAATACCTCTCGTGGCGCTTCCATGAGCGAGAACGATAATTCGCAAATTGATATTCAATTGCGTGTATCTCTTAACGATAGCAGCGAGAATGAAGGAGTTAGTATATTTGAAATGGAGACGCAAAAATATGAGGAAGGCCGCAAAACAGTGGCGTCGAGCTCCATCCATGATATGGAGACACAAAATATTCCCACGGACGTGTCCAAAGATCTTGAAGCAAATGCTACAGTTAAAAAGCAATTGTCAACAATCAATCTCCGTAATAAAATGACTGGAAGTTCCGCAACAAATATTCATGATATAGAAACGCAAGATAACATAGATGGTAACGAAGAACAGCCTGTTACAAAAAACAAGATCGATATGCTGAATGCAACGGCGAAAAAATGCATGAAGAATATTCAAGATCTAGAAACGCAGTATTATCCCGTTGACTCCACTAAAAATATTCGAGATACAACCGCAAAGAAATCCGTGATGAATATTTACGATATAGAAACGCAGAATTACATCGTCGACAACGCTAAAAATAACACCGGGATTCGCGAATTGGGAAACGATAAGAACAAAGTTCGTGTGGACCAGGTTAAGCACGATATTCACGATTTGGAGACGCAGAATCTCGACAATGAGCGCACCGTCGAAGATATATGCGACATGGAGACCCAACTTGCATTGGACAGGAGTGAGTCTAGCAATAGTCGCGCTGATAAAAATAACGAAGACAAGAATAAGGATATGCCGGATGTTGCTAAGAGCGGAACGAGTCGCGAGAACTACACAAAATTACCGTCGTCTAGATCCAGCAGTCCGGGATTGTTGAATCTATCTTCACCAGAAATCGACGAGAACTGCCCATCATCACCGTTAAACGAAAGCGCTCATTTGCTCGAATCGTCGGATTTATTAGAGTACTTCGCCGATGGGATCGATAAACTGAAAGAGTGCAACGCGTCCACGCCAAAGCCGCGCCTGAAAACGTCGTCGCAAAAAGATAATGCAGGAAACACGGCAAGCGCGTCGGACAATGAAAACGACGATCAGGAGGATAACATCCATGATCTTCCCACTCAATGTATCAGCAGCAAGTCGAGAGTCTCTCCGTCGAACGATTCCAAAAGCGATGAGAAAAAGGCGGCTGTAAAGCGCATGTCTCCAAAGAAGACATGTAGGAAGCCTCGACCGACGCAAATCGATGACGACTCGGAAACTGATGCTGAGGAATATCTGGAGGAACTCGCGAGAAAACAAGGCAAATCTTTAGAAGCTCCGAGTAAGTCACGCGATACAAACGTGGGAAATAGTAATGATCCAGAGACGAGCGGAGATTCTGACGATATGTTCGATATGCTCACGCAACAATCGAAGGACCATTCTGCTAAGAATACATCGAGCTCGTCGATCAATCAACAACCGAAAACCAATCAAACCTATGCAGTTGTCGACGATATGCAGTTGGCGTTAACGCAGAAAATGGACTACGCAAAAAAGGACAAACGCGACGATCGATCAGGTGTATCTTCTGCAGATATCAATGACACGATGCCAACTCAGCCTCTCTTGCCACGTAAAGTTCCTCCGAAGACCGCGATTAATTCCAAGAACTCTTCGCTGAAAAACAATCAAAATAACGTGGACGATATCGCACCTACGCAAGTTATGCATGCAAACGTAAATGTATCGGAATCAGATAATTGTCATACGTCACCAAAAGTCGATAGCGAAAATATAGATTACGAGACAGCACCCACTCAAGTAATCGGCGAAGTTGTCGAAGGGGAAAATTCGACGAGGACTTCTGATCGCACGAAATCTTCGAAGGTGGACTTAAATGACACTTTGGAGCGAAATCTGAATGAGATGTTCGATGACGTGAACAGTGAGAGCGTTCACGAGCATGCGCTGATGTCCACTCAATGCTTGGAAGATATTCTACAGGCCTCGCAATGTGATAACGAGATCTTCCCTAAATCCACTGTAGAAACTGTAAAAGCGTCCACAGATGATGCGTTACGGGCGAAGTCGGGAAAGAAAAGCGATCGGCTTTCGCGTAACGCGATGGACAGCGAAGTAAATAAAAATAATGCGAACGAGACAGATTCACAAAAGTCAGATATTTATTTTGCTACTATCACCACAAGGCGCAAGAGAAATGTTATAAAAGATACGCAGGATATTATAGATTTTACGGAGGCCATGACATCTTCCCGTCAAGCTCCTAATATCCCACAGAAGTCCAAAGGAGAGACCAAAAACAATAACTTGACAACGAAATCAAACAAAAGAAGTAAAAGGATCGCCAAGTCGAAAAGTAAGACCGACGCGACGACGGACGATTTGATCGATGATATTGCAAGTAAAACTACCTCAAGTGAGAATAACGAGAAAATCGTTCAAAAGACCAAGTCGGTGAAACAGAAAAATGGATCCGCGACGAAAACAAAGCAACAGATCCTGCAAGAAAATTCGTGTGGAGGCGAAGTCGATCACGCAGAGGGAAACTACGAAAATAATCGTCTCGATACTTGCGCACCTTGTCCATCCAAAAATGGACAAGATGCGCAAAAGTTGAGTACGTTATGTCAGAGTGATGACGACATCCTAACGCGCTTACCGGCCGTAAGGATATCGGGCACACTCTCAAATCCGCCGAGTCCTTCTGCGTCGTCGACGTCGACTGTACACAGTGCAAGGTCTAAGCCAGACGACGCAAGGAGTAAAACAAAAGGCAAGCCGTCGAAAAATAAGCCACTGCGCACACGAAACATCAAGAATTCGGATCGTACCGATAATAAGTCACCGTTACCATCGCATGATATTTACTCATCAAGTGTTGCTCTTGAAACCATGAGGCTTGATACAGTGTCCAAACTTGCGAATGACTCTGATTCGGACAGCGCAACTAGTTACAGACGATTTAAGCAGATGGCCGATAGAATGTTGAGCAAAGAGCGAGATGATTCGAAGGAACAAAGTAAAGGAAACAATGCGGTGCAAAAGTCAAGCAAATCTACATCTAATAAGAAGAAAAACGCGCGTTCTTCACCCAGCGTTTCCAAGGATCCGAAGCAAGGTTCGGACTTGGAAGAATCGAAGAATCCTGTGCGAACTAATTTAAGAGCAACGCGCAGCTCAAATAAACAGGACAACATGACGAAAGAAGCTTGCACGAAAGACGCAATTGGCAAATCTACGAAGCCAGAAAGGAAATCTGCTGCAGTTAATCGGAAGAGAGGTCTTAATACAGAAGAAAACACAGAACAGACCGATTCGAAGAAATATAAAATGGATGAAGTTATCGGAAAAACAGCTAAGATTGTGTCAAAAGAGACTCGAGAAATCTCGAATACGAAAACAGAAAACGTCGATACCGCGAAGTCAAGCGTTACACGAGGCAGACGTAAAGTGACTGATAGCCAGGCCGCGACACGCATTGAGAATACCAGTAAAAATAAACAAATACAAGCGAAGGAGAGACAAACATTGGCGTCTCAGGTAGTAGAAAAAACACTGAAGATTATACTTGATCCTATCATAGACGAAGAGTCGCGAGAGGTGGAGATGATTATGAGGAACGTCCCAAGCAATACGCGAGATGAAAATTCATCAGTCAGGGAGGGAAACAACGTCAGGACATTCCAAAGGGGATCCTCATCAAGAAGCACCAGAAGCAGCAAACGAGCCAACACGAATGTCACAACTGATTCCTCCTCGATTGAAAATAGCACGTCGTCCGAAACGAGTGATCTTGAGAGCGTGCAATCCGGCAGCATCGCGCCGACGAGAAATAAACGCGGAAGATTCGTTAAAAAGTCTGTCCCTCCGCCGCAAGAAACGCGTGTCCCAGAGAAGGAAGTATTTAAGATTCCCACTCGTATCAACCGATATTCTGCAATTTATACTGATAATAGCGCCACAGAAAATTCAATGAGTGATGATAGTCGAAGCAGCATACAGAGTGACGGTTCCTTAAATATTAGACTCTCAAGGTCAAAGACAGCGGGCACTAAAAGTACATGGAAGATCGAGATGAATGAAAGTTCAAGTAAGAAAAGAATGGTGGCGAACACCAGTATTTCCTCAGAGATAAACACCAGCGTAGATTCCACTCTTCGCGTTTCCACGCCTACCAGAGCGCGCAGAAGTACGTCATCGATGAGCATTTCTTCACCATCCATAGGAAGACATAGAATTTTATTCACGGGTATAACAGAGGACACGTATGATAATGTTATTAAAACGCTAGGTGAGTGGTTCTTTTAATCTGTTTAACACGTAAAAACTATTTGAATCTGACGAATCAAATATATGGTTAATAGAGAAATATATGCATCGGAAAATGTATATATTCACCATAACTTTAGTGATTCGAACTTTAAACTTGGCACTAATCCAAGAAGAAATTAGCATGGCAGTCGACGTGTTAAATAAATTTCAGAAAATTCGTAGCATTGATTATATATTATTTCTCTTATTGTCGATGATTTTATAGGCGGAACCAGAGTGGAAACTCCGAAGTTATGCACCGTCTTGGTCACCGATAAAGTTCGCAGAACGTACAAATTCCTGTGCGCTTTGGCGAAGGGTATACCCATAGTATCAATAAATTGGCTAAGTGATAGTGAATCGGCGGCGCAATTTTTAGATTGGGAGGGTTACATACTGAAGGATCGAGTCGCCGAAGCCAAGTTTGGATTCAGATTGAGGAAGAGTCTCGATAAAGCTAAGGAGAAAGGATTACTGGTTGGTTACACGATTGTGTTAACGCCGAACATTGAGCAACCACCTACAAAGGAATTAAAAGGCAAGTCAGGTTTCTTTAGCACATTGTGCAAAACGTATTTAGCGGATTTAACGATAATCTGATTTCTCCTTTTTTGTAGACATGATAACGTCTTGTGGGGGGAAGGCTCTATTGTCTCCACCCACCACATGGCCGGAAAAAGCGGTAATAATATCCCGCGCAGAAGATTTGCCAAATGCGAAAAAGTACCTTGCGAAAGCACCCAAAACTGTCACTGTACATACTACAGAATTCATCTTGATAAGTATCTTGAGACAGGAAGTGAACTTTGATAAGCACAGATTGATATAACTTCCTTTCGTAACAATGGGCATTGTTGGTTCTGTCAGTATCCTGTGATCTGGTTACATTGAGCAACATTTATGTCAACTGTTATTGATTAATCAAATTAATAGCGCTCCTTTACGGCGCTCAAATTTTTTATTGCATTTACGAAACATCCTTTCTCTCATATGATTAATATGTTGATTATTATGAGAAGTTAATTTAAATTGCTTGACTATTAATTTCGTACGCGAAGTTTCCTTGGTGCGACGGTATCTACTCCCACAAATCACAAGTACAGGAAAGCCAGTGCAATTGGTCCCTAAATTTTCGTTTTCTATTGATCTATTAATAGTAAACATATTGTTTGTTAATTATATGATATTTTTAGATTATGTTGCGTTTAATAGGATGAGGAAAGTAAAATTAATAGGATGAGGAAAGGCACATTGATTATTATTGGGAACTTAAATCAGTATAACTTATATAAATTGCGTAGATCGCTATATTAAGATTAAATTCTCCATATTAAAAATATTCGTGTCAAGGTATCCATAAGACACGTGATTTTATTACGAGAATACGTGTTATATTATAACTCATACGCCATACTAAGGTTATTTTACTAAGGTTTACTTACGTAAGATACATACGCGTGAAACTAGTACAAAGATCGTTAGTTTTGATATGATTACAACATAATGTATATTGCAAGTTTATATTGAAATAAAAGTTTAATGAAAGGAGACAAATGTATGACTAGCTTTGTTAACACACGGGTGCATAAAAATAAAACAATACGCCATACACAGAATGAGAAGACACGATAATGTCTCAATCAAATATATTTGCGAAATACTTATATACTTTTGTGGAGAATGAACGAAAGCGCATTCTCCTTAGCCAGAAATATTTATTTCTCGGATATTCTTTTCATTACAACAATTGCTCACAATCAATACATCAATACATTATTTTCCGTGCGCGAAAATTTAGAAGTTTTGCCTTGCAACTCTAATCTAATGACGAATTATCGATTACAATTGGCGAGAGCCGCGTTCTTGAAATTAGTGAACGTAATCGTGTCGAAATGACGTGTTTCTCTTCCGACAGTTGATTCAAGTGGATCAACTTGGCTCTCTTTATACGTGCGTTTTCCCTTCGTATGTCGCAACACAATTGCTGTCCATTACGAAAATAAATGGCAACGAAGTCGTCCTTATGCGCTTTTCAACGCATAAATCAAGAGTATTATAATTAATCACTTGAGTAACTTGTCACGCTTGACTGTCGTTTACTAGATCGTGAATCACTCTAACAAGGCAAAACATTACAAAGATAGAAAAAAAAATACTTAATTAATCATAGCTGATTAGTTATGACACAGTCAACGCAATTGCACGCATTTCATTGTTTATTTTCATGGAAATCAAAACAACCTTGCTATCTTATATTAAAAAAGAAAAAGAATGTCATGCAAACTCCAGATTCAGGCGAAGTAAGCAGTAGTCCAAGTACGACGTATGTTATTTTGTATTCATAAATAGCATGATCCGTGCTTTGGACATGAATGAATAAATGATGAGGCACGAGCTACCGTGCCGATCTTATGTCGCGTGAGTACCTACAACTAAATGCATTTTATCAGAGAATAAAGATCGTGATAGATGTGTATATATATTTCTTTCTTATTCCAGTCGTCCTAGCGGAGGTTAAGTCTTGCGAGATGAGATCCAACTGACAACGCCTGCCGCAAAAATAGGAACGTGCGCAACCTGAAATCAAAATTATATTTAATGTAGCAAGAATTGCAGCTGATTTACAATCGCGCTTGCAAAATATTTTCAAAGCAGATGGTGAGGACACCGAGAAACGAGTGTATTTTGCGCGTTATACGAATGAGTGAAATTAAACAAATATGGATATGGATGTATATATATGCATTCGTGAGTCACGCTTTAGATAAGATAATTTAAGCGATACGTGGCTTCTTCGTGCGCGATTCGACACGTTTGCGGGAGTTAAGCTCCATTGTTCTGAAAGCAATTTTCGAGAATATATTACCGTCAAAATTCAACTCGTAATATAAACCTCTTTGAAGGACACAAACTAAAGGAGAAAGAGACGAAGTGCACTATCGAATACAACCAAAAAGTGCGTTATATTTCCATCTACTGTGCCTTTCAACAATTTAAGTCGCCACCGAGCGCTCTCGAATAGCATAGACTATATAACTTTGGAGAAGGACGAGCCCACTTCCGAATTATCGGAAAAACGATCGGATTTATTGACGAAAAAACGAATCAAGGTCTTTCAATTTCTCTTCTCACATATACGACGTTAAAAGCAGCACAAGATCTCGAGAGGATGGGAACATTCTTAGGATGTCTTTCGTTAGAATATCCTGTGTGGAGATCTGTGCTGTTTGGGAACTCACTTTCAACGTAACGACCATACAAGTACATCGAATAGCACGCCACAGTATGGCGTCATCTTTGGGAGCAACATCAATTTGAATTTCATTGAATTTGCCAAAGGAGGACTATCGATTAGTCGCGATTATCGCGTAGTGCCTGGCGTGCCATCGTGCGACGATCTTACCCACACGGACTACGCCTTGGGCTTGTCGGCCTGCCGTTTGTTATGCTCCGAGTTCCTCAGCTTCGTGAGTATCTTTCTGGAATGGCCGCTCGGGTCGAAGTGGTTGGTGTGGGTGACGGCCTCGCGTTTGCTTCTCTGTTTACCGCCGTGACCGGTGAAGATGTGCTTGTCGTAGTCGTAGTTGAAGTGCTCGTACTCGTCGAAATGCGCCTCGGACATAGCTCTCGAAGTTAGATTCTCGGGTGCGCTCGGAGAAAACCAGTCGCTGATGCGCGACGCAAAAGCAAAAGCGGACTCGCAATGGGCTCGTTACACAACAGCTCGACCGAAGGATCGGTTCGATACTGGCTGCTCCGCGCTCGTCGCACCACGTTTATATACCCCGCGGTAACTGGCCGTGCTTTTATGCGCGCGATGAGCAGTGCCGGTTCTAGCTGGCGGTTCTACCGTCGTCACCAACAGCAACGGACGTCCCGGCGTGTTTTGCACGCTCCTCGCGGTCGTGCGGACTTCAATGATTTTTTCGCGGGCGAACGACGGGACGCAGGGACGTCCAGCCCGATGCGCGAAAACGAAAAAGGACCGGCTCTTACGCAAGTTCGCGCAACTGCGCAGCAGGCGCGGTATCTGAATATATATATATATATATATATATATATATATATATATATATATATATATATATATATATATATATGTATGTATTGGAAATGTTAACCGCGAATGTGCAATTCTGATAGCGCTCTGATAACGTATCGCGAAGTGTTCTTGCGGTCTTCCTCGCAAGATTATGCAACCTCTTCACTCGGACCATACCTATATCGGCCGGGCTATGAGAGAAGTCAAACAAACAGAAAATGTCGCAATGAGAGATTAATGAAGCCCGTCCATCTCTGTGAATGTACTTGGGAATTTCGACAAGCGCGAGTCATCGATCCGCGGAATGAAAATGAGATGTTATTAAGCGTGTAAAATTGCGTCGCAAGGTGTAACGATACACTTGTCGCCTTGTCACCCGACCATTCCCGTCGACTCGTCGCCGGTGCACCATCAATGCACCTGCGAATGTGTGTACTCAGCTGCATTTTGTCGTCGTCTCCGTTTCGCCGTGCTCCGTTTCACGCAGTAATGTCGACATAAATCTACACCTGGGTGGTCTCCACCTGCGTGTGCGAGGCTGAGCTGTACAGATCGCTGGCGATAGCCAGGCACTCGGTATCCATCTGAAGATGCGAGCGCCCATTAGCTTGTCCGCACGAAGCACTTTATATGACATCATACACTCCAGAAAATAGGTCTGTTCTTTTTAACTGAACTGTCTGAACTGGTCCGTAGTGTAATAAGTTAAAGTGAGACAAATTATAAAAAATATTTATTAAATTATTAAAAATATTTATTAAATTATTAAAAATATTTTGTTTCACTCTAACTTATTGCATCAGTTTAGGCAATTCAGCTAAAAAGAACGGACTTAATATCATCTCCTTCTTAACGGAATCTTATAAGACAATTTTTCTAAAACAGAAGAGAAATATTCCAAGCACAATATTATTCCTTTTCATTAGAAGAGGTATAGTCTTTCGGTAAAGGCGTTCGCTCAGAATATAGGATTACAGAAAATAGCACCTTGCAGCTGGGAAACTTCTTTTTTTGAGTGTTAGAATATTCTCTTTTTGATTTCAAACGAATCCTGTTGAAGACACACAGAAAAATGATTGCATAATTGTTTTTCTTAGCGGTAGAATAATATTTCTATGTGTGTATAGCATAAGGAGATTCCACTAAGGATGAGATTATATTCTTCTTGGGATACGATTAGTATACGACTATTATACCGTTTCGTTTCTTTCATTATGACGATTTTATCTCACGTTACTTCCGGTTCCTTATATTTACGTCCAAATAAAAAGCCGCGTCTCGACAGCGCTGACGCTAAAGTCTAATCTACAATGTGCTCTTTGCGTTCTATTTCTTGTCTTCTATCTTTTTCTGGCTTAAAGCTTAAGGTTTGAGTCAAAAAGAGACAAAGAGAAAGAAGCAAGAAGCAAAGAACACATTGTAGATCAAGCTTAAGAAGCTTCTTCGTTCCGCGAGCACGTGCTGGCGCACATGATTTCCCACGGTAGCCGGTAACAAGATTTTCAGACGTCTCCAAACATCCAATGCTCGCCACTCACGTGGCCGGCGTCTATACGTGGAGAACATACGCGACCTACAAAATTCCAACACGTAAGCGCTATCCGGCGGCCAGGTGCGTTGCCTTCTGCTACAAGGTGTATCTTCGGCGCCGGTACAATCCGCCGCGGCTGTGTCATCAAGTCAGACCAGCGCAGCCAACATTTACGACGTCTTTGGACCTCGAGACACAATGACGAGACTTTTACCCAGAGTGACGTCATCTTTTATTTCAAAAAGTCAAAAAGTGTTGTTTTCAGACGAAGCGAACTCGCATGGAGTCGCACACGCTTCGTTCCCAATATCGGATATCGATAAACGGACAATGAGAGACACGGGAGTTACATGTATGGCGTTTTGACGAACGGAGGATTTTCAATCCTGACGGCGAAGGCGACTGCCGCGGCGATTATACGCCGATCGTCCGTAAATTAGACGCGATTTGTAACCCACCTTGCGGAGGCGCGACGAGAAACACGACGAAGGAGACATAAGAGTCTTGAGAAATGTTTTGCTGCTACATTCACCGGTCGGACAAAGCGACGAGGGGATATGAGAGTATCAGCACGAACGACGTCGAGAAGGAGAGAGAGAGAGAGAGAGAGGGGGGAAGGCCAGATATCAGCCGAGCTCGTTTCTACGTCGCAGAATATCGCGGCAAAACGAAGCCATCGGAGCGTGATCGACGTGTCGTGCACATCAACGAAATTTCTGAATCGACAGATGACACCCTCTCTCGCTCCCGCTTCCTCTCTCCCGGTAATCCGATAATTTCCGACCTACGGAACGCGCGTTCCGAGTCGGCGTGTTCGCGACTTGAAAAATCGCGGATTGTACGGCAACAACAACAGCACGATTAAACATGCAGAAAGTCTCCCAATTACGTCAATGTTATCACCTCTCGACATCGTCGCTCGCGGAAAAGTGCAAAGTGTCGATACATTCCGTCTCGCGCGCGCACACGTCAGCGCGAATAAATATCTTATTTTATTACGCCGCGGCACTTACACCGCGCAGTGGTAATTAACGCGAGTGGCGCACAATATTTTGATAAACAGTCCTTATAAATATCTGTCCGATTTCTTATGTAACTCGGCGCGCTCTTACATAACAGCTCATCGATAATTCCCGGGAAATGTGGCTTTCGCGCCCGGGTGCGAAAATAATCAAGCGTGTTATTTGTTGTTTATACCGATAAACAGTGGCTCTCTATCAGCTCTCTATCGATGACCAATCTCCAAGGTCGCGGGGATTGAGGTTAGGCGACAGTTTCCCAAAAAGTGGAGGGGATATTGTTGGTACCAAGGAAAGTCTCTACACGATATAATTTAAAGATCTGTTCTTTGTAACTGCACTGCTGAACTGATGCAATAAATTGAAGTGAGGCAAGTATACGTTTTCTCACTCTAATCTCTTGCATTAGTTCAGCAGTGTGCAGTTACAAAGAACAGATTTTTTAATTATATCGTGTACAGATTTTCCTTGGTACCAACATTATCCCCTCCATTTTTCGGGAAACTGTCGCCTAACCGGGATTGATACGAGTATTATACTTGTATTATCTCGACTAAGCGCGGAATATACGTGCTCGTGCCGCGGTCGCGTTGTTGCGGGACGACGGTTAATTATAGCCTCAAGAGCTTTCGCTATCTTCGCAAAGTCAACGAAAGACAAAAGTGTACGCGCGCACGCAGGCGGGTGGACTCCAATTGGCTCTCGTGAACAACAACGCGCTCGCGCGATAGGATGAGATCGAGGAGAGAAAGAGAGAGAGGTCGTCCGACAAATCGTCGTTCGAAGGAGACGATGACCACGCGAAAGGATATCGGCCGCGAAGTACCGTTAAATAGATCTGATCCTGATAGGACGTTCGCATTTGCGAAGTCCAGTCCGCTCGTGGATTGACGACTAGTCAACGCGCCTTCCTCAGACGCCTTCGAGAACAGGTTTCTGCTATTGCATGTGGTAGGGGAGTCGCTAGAGTTATGTTTTACATAATATTATTTGCGATTTCATGTTATTGCGTGCTGAACGCGCCAGCTACGCGTTGGTGAGAATTTGGCGGATTCTTGAAGCGCGGAACAGGAAGCTAGAAGAGGAAGAGTTACTTTGTTATATACAGCCGATACGAAGAACGATGTAGAGTCCGTGATCAGTAACGCCGCGATGTCTCGCAATCGCGCATCATGAAAATTCATTTTGCTCGCACGACTAGTACAGAGTCGCGGGAAAATTTATAGAGAGCGTGATGTCGTGATGGCGTCGTGCAGCTCCAGGGGTGAAACACCTGACTGCATAATTGAAAGTGTTCAAAAATAGGAAATATATCGCAGCAACGCCGACGTCGAGGCTTTGAATCTATAAAAAGCACAGCGAAACTAGAAACGTACTTACACATGTATTACATTCTATAGTCACGAGCCACGTGTTGAGAATACACATACCTTGCAATCTGACGACCAAGAAGCGAAATTTATCGATTCCCGAATCGAAATGACTTGCTCTTTTCCTCTCTCTCTTTCTCTCTCTCTCTCTATTTAATTCAGCTAAACATGTCCTTAGAAGGTTCATCCTAAGACCTAAGACTTTAACAAAAGCTATCATCATCGTCGATTTCTCTGTATACATATTTATCGCGCATTGCGCTGCTCGTGTTTCGCGCTTGTCGAGAAAAGAGACGGAACTGAAAAATGTTGAAGGGAAGTGACAAAGCGCGGGCTTGTCGCCAGAAAGAATGCGACTGACGCAAGGATAACGCGTAAATCAGCGAGTCGGAAACTTGTAAAAATTTTATTAAACAAGAGCGAGCGATTCCGACGCGACCACCTTTCCAAAGCGAATGTCCCGCTGACGACGTGTTGACGACGCGTTGCGCACATCGGTATAATAACTGCGAGGCACGCACAACGCGCGTTCTTTGTAACGAAGTCTGCTGCGCTTAGCGGAAAGTCACACCAAACAACGAATCGATCCGATAACTCGGCGGAGATTGGCCGATAGGAACGACGACGACGACGACGGATTATTAATCGATCCCGTACACGTCGCCGCCTTTGCGATAATCAGCATTCGCGAAGATCGTCGAGTTTTCGTACAATATCACGCAAGCCACGCTGCCACGTGCCCTGTAGCGCTTCGTGACGTGCCCCATGCGCTTCAAACCGTCGATCACCTGTTTCGGGACACCGTATTCATAGTCCACCCTCGATGGGAACAGCTGATGGTGTATCCTCGCCGCGTCCACCGCCTCCTTGACCGTCTGTTCCATCCACAAGATTTTCGCGATCACCTGAAAATCGAGGAAGCGACCGTGACGCCAAATTGATGCAAGGATGATCGACAGAAGAGCCGAATCCGCGGAGTTTTCGGCGTTACTAACTTGGGACACCGCGGTCGTAATTTTCGTGCCACCCGCGGCACCCACGACCATTTTAACGTCGCCATGCTGGTCGACGAGCACGGACGGCACCATCGAGGACAACGGCTGCTTCTTGGGGGCGATGTAGTTGTTGGGACTGGGTGGCACGCCGAAGTAGTTGAGCCTCAACGGGATACCGAAATCGTCCATTGCGTTGTTCAGGAGTATGCCGGTCCTCCGGCTGACCAGTCCGCTACCGAAACTGCGGGATCATCGGAGTCGTATTCTTCAAAGTGCAATCAGTGCATCTTTCACTGAAATGCTATACTTATAATTGCCCGACACACACCAACTAAGAGTAACATTACGTCAATGTTATAATTTCTCACTCAACGATGTAACTGTTACATAACACTTACGTTATATGGTATCTGACATCGTTAAGTAGGAAGTTACAGAACATTGACGACAGTTGGTGTTTGATGGATGGTCGTTCAATTAGAAGGGTAGCACTGCGATCAGTACGACTATTAACGACGACTGTTACACGGGCCTTACTAATTCAGTCAGACACATTTCTACTCATTCGCTTTAAGGGAGTGAGAAGAGCGCGAGGGAGATCTTTCACAGTCGGCGAAGCTCGCCGTGAAGCGGAGGTCGCTTACTAATAATTAATGCTGCTGGTGGCCGACACAGCATCGCCGTTCTGCGCCAGCACCGACACGTGCGCCGTGCCGTGGTCTTCGAAACCGGCGCCAATGAATGAACCGTAGTGTCGCGTATCCTGCCATGTCCTGTCGTCATTTATCTTCCTACGTATCTGGCGAGCAAAGTTCTTTGACGTAAGATTTCTCGTTATCTGCAAGAAAAACAAACAGCTATTGAACATCAAGAAACATCAAGATCCGATAGAATCGTGTATCTTATCATTGGGGATTAATTGTCACCTCGCGCTGTTTACCTCAGACATATCGTTGAAATTTCCGTCACCCAGGTTCGTCCTTAACGCATACGCGTACTTGAATGTTTCTATCATTCTGTGATACGTGAGAGTCGTCGCGTTTAAGCCGGCTATACTGGCGGATGAGAAGCCGTAGTCGTCGAAGACGTTCAAGATGAACGAGAGCACCGCTCCGCTGCCCGGTAAACCCGTCGTAAAGAGATTCAAGCCGCCTGAAAGATTCGTCTGGATCGGTTGATCCCATGAGACCCTAAAAGAAGAACACTTGGTTGTACTACTGTTAATGCTACTGAATAATTACGCTACTATTAACTGCTTTTATCAGCGTGATTTTACCGATTGCACAGTGCTATACTTACTTACTGCACTCACAAGTAAACCCAAAGGTTACACTCCGATTTCTTTCTAATTTGGCACAAATGTAGAAGTATAAAAAATATTTAGGTCATATTTTTTCATTTTGGCTCACTTTGAGTTTTACGGGCAATTTATAGCTTTCTGATCTTCTCACTCCTATCATCAAGTGCAACAAAAATGCATAAAAAATAAAATTGAATACAAGATATAGGCATTTTTGGTTTGATAATTATGAATAGAGGTTAAATGTGTAGAATTATTTGTATAAATAATAAAATGTTTAAGCAAAACATATAAAAAGTTGAAAAAAGTATGTTTACAAATAATTTCTCAGTTTGGTCGAGATTCAAACCATTTTTGATTAATTTGAGCACAAATTTGAAATATTTCGGTTGGAATCTCGGCTAAAGAAATTTAGGATAGTTCGTGTCTCAGCTATACCGATTTTATTAGAATTATTTAACTATATCTTGTATTCAATTTTATTTTTTATGCATTTTTGTTGCATTTGTTGATGATAGGAGTGAAAACATTAAAAAGCTATAAATGAAAAAATATGACCTAAATATTTCTTGTACTTCTACATTTGTGCCAAATTGGAAAGAAATCAGAGTGTACCTTTTGGGTAGGTTTACTTGTCAGAGAAAGACATGGCTAATTCTAATGTATATAATTTAATAATCTATTTTGTAATTATTGCAAGTTTCAGTTGCAAAAAGTATGTAAATTAGTTTATTGAACTATATACATTAATTTTACATACAAAACTGGTATAGTTGCTACTTAATAGTTGCCAGCACCGTGTCTTTTTCTGCGAGTGTGAACCACCAGGTTAAGTATACCATTTCAGTAAAGAATACACACATACATAGATTGCATTATATCTTTCCCGTTGGAAATTCTTTCATTTTCGCCATTACCTGTACTCGTTAAGGTCCTTCATCGTAATGATGCCCCCTTGCTGCCGCAGGTCGTCGACGAGAAGTCGTCCAATCGTGCCGTTGTAAAATTCCGTGGCGTTCTTCTCGGCGATAACTCGCAGCGTCTCGCAAAGTGCCTTGGGTTTAATGATGGATCCTGGTTTACGGAATTCGTTAGTTGTGGGATCGACAAACAATTCTCTAGAAGAATGAGAAGGATATTTCGTTCGGCGATGTTATGTTACGTACGGCAACGAACGGTTTCTCCACGGCTTATTTCACAGCGCGGTTACTCCGACGCCACGTACCTCAGAGTCGGATCGTTATAAATACTGTTCTTATTGTAGCCAAAGCCGTCGTACTGCACTAACGTCAAGGTGTAGCCCTTCTCGCAGAGCTCGATACTCGGCTTGAACAAATCCGCCCATGGCAATCTACCGAATCTTTGATGAGCCTCCCAGTAGCCGGCCAATTCGCCGGGAACAGCGACTGCTAGCGCGCCTATCGATATATACATCGTCGAAATATACACATATTATCTACATTAGTAGATATATCACACATATATCACATATATCACATTAGTATCTTAAACCGAACGAGAAACAGAGAGAGGGAAAAAAAGACAGAATAAATCAAAATACATACAAGTTATCTAAAAATTCTAGACATACAGCCATAGTATACAGATAGAACTCATCAAACTGAACATGGAAAAGGCCTATACTTCGTCAATCTTCTTTAACAATCACTCCAAACTTTACGTGGTTGTTTGCAAAATGATATTGGAGATTTTCTCTTTTAAGTTTATAAGTTCTACCTGCACACCACAGCTGTCTAGAATTTTCAGACCAACTGTACTATTATGGAAAATTGTTGGAATATTCACCGAAGGAAGACGCATTCGCGGGTTTGCCGTCGTACATTGTAGAGTTCGCTAACAAGGGCGCGCGATCCCTCGCGTTTAACACGAAGGCCTGGCGCGTGGATCTCTCGTAAATTGTCATCATAAATCCACCCCCGAAACCGAGACTCTGCATGTTAACAAGTCCGTTGCATATTAGCGCGGCCAGCGCGGCATCCACTGCCGATCCGTTCTGCTCCAGAATCGACCTGAGAAAAAGAAAAAAGTGCCTTATCCTTCTGCACTTAAAAATATTTGCATCAGCTAGCTCTCACAGCTTTCTCTTTTCTCTTCTCCATTTGCTTATATTCCTACGAATCTTGTATATAGAACTCTTTTGTTAAAAATATTTCCAACGTGTCGTGAGGAAAGGAGATCCGTCGTCGCGAAACAGAGCGCGAAATCAAACGCAGCTCGCTCGAATTGCATTCAAAGAGTACGCGGGTTTCGCAAGATTCGCACGTACTTGCCAATAACAGCACACGGTGCCCCATCCGCACAAACCGCGCCATTCTTGAAGGTTCTCAGCTCACTCCACGATGGTGGCTGCAGGTTCTCCGGGTCGGGCGGCATTAGAATCTCGTCGCTTTGCGAATCCAGATCGCGACCACATATACATTGAATACTGCCAATGCTGAAGCCGATAATTGCCCCGAATAATAATGCCGTAATCGCGGCGATTATGAGCACCAATTGCCGTACGCGACATCGTGACCTGCAAAATAGGATTGTCTGTTTAGTTGAAATTAGGATATAATTAAGATTCCAGTTTCATAATTGCACAAGATGGGGAATGGAAAAATTAGGTGGTTGTCATTTTCTGTGACATACCTCGTACGGCATAAATGTCCAAAGATGTGTGATATTTCTAGGACGTCTCTAGAATGTATTTTGGACGTTTGTGCTGTATGAAACGTAGAATTATTTTTCTATATATATTTTGATTGCTTTGATTTTTATATTTTCTATATTTCCTTCGTTTTTTTCGTGATTTTGCACACGAATAAATCTGATTACATTTTCAGATCGATAAACCGAAAGTTATCGGTTACTGTAATAATACTCAAGTGCTTATTATTATTTTGTACATATTTCCAAAGATAAGCTTATTCTCTCGACGAATTGATTATGATAATGTCGAATAAATAATAATAGAATTACAGAAAGCATTACATGAGTATTATTGTAATTACAAATTTTATTTTTGCTTTCTCAAGTATTTGCAAAATCACTTACATAGTTGAAGAAGTGCTTGAACGCACTACAATATGGCCGGTATTCATTCAATATCCCGATCTTATATTTAAGATCAGCTTAAGTATTGTCTTAAGATGTCATGAACCAATCACAGAACCGTATTCGCATTTTAAGACGGTCTTGAAATAAGATTCGACTATGAATACCGGTTTATATGGCATATTATTTTTTGCGACACAATAAGTTTATACTTATCGTGCATGATTGGCACATTTCATTATCATAAGCGAAGATAGCAAATAAAGACAACACAATGCCGTTTCGTCGTTAAAATCTCTGGTCGATAGCTTTCCGACAGTCAGTTAGTGCGCAACGCTGTAAGAGGACGTTACCAAGCAATCACCTATTTTGTGTTCTTGAACTTGCTTGTCATAACAACTGTCTTAAGAACTAGTGAGTCAAGTCGTATTCGGGAGGAGATTCTTTATTTTGGACAAACTACTACGACGAGAAGTAAGTCAAATAGTTTTCGAGATTCGTGCATTTTCGACGGACGTGATTGATTCGAGACAGTCGGTGCAATTGCAGAATTGTAGTGTCAAACGAGATAGATAAATCTAACATATTGCTTCTGACTTTTGTACTTCTCTCTAACTAAGCACTTTTTTCATTTTCCTTTTCTGCTTTCTATCATCTCATTTCATAAACAAGGTATAGTAAAAGTAAAAAATATGAATTATTTATAATTATCTATAATTATCTATAAATTTTCTCGATAAATTAGCACTCTACTATATCGTGCATTTTGTATAAACTATATAAAAAAATATAATCATATATAGAATAATAATGATAAATTTTTTATCATCTTTACTATTTTATTTATCATTATCTTTATTATTTTCATGTTCAACATCACTAAAAAATATTCAACTAAAAAATATGTTTGGGGGGCTCAAAATAACTAATTTTAGTTAGATCAACTATTTTTTCTCAGAGTGCATATCTTTGTCTTGAGTTGTATTCTATACATGATTACCGACAATCGGTTTGGTATGTGTCATTACGTAACTATTTTATGATATGATTATATCTGTACAACAAATACAATCCGAACTGACAGTTATCGGAAATAGTTGCCCTGGGGAGATTGTTAATTATTTATGTTTGTCTGGGAGACAATTTACATTCGGCTTTTACTCCATTTAAAATTCTTAACAATTTTTAGTCATTTTTTGTTGTGTTGGCAAATTGTGAAAAATCGAAAATTTGGTGTTAACCACGCTTTAATCACACAGTTTGCTGTTCTTCCCTTATGTATTTGTTTGTATCTATTATCTATTTCTACATATTTCGTATCAGAGATATACGCAGAAGATACTAGTGAAGACAAATAAGTCATTTAGATAAACAATTTGAAATGACTTGCATATTCAAGTAGCGTTTAACGTAGCGTTTGAAGTGTGTGTGTGTGTGTGTGTGTGTGTGTCACTCACTTCTTTATCTGCAATCCTTCAAAGACTCGTCTCGATCCGCGAGAGGAGCTGCCGAGCAGCCAAGCGGTACTGACCTCTTCCGTGTCGAGGAACTTTGTCTCCTCATGACTGTTGCACCGGCGTGCATCATCCACGCTGGTGCATACAGAAGTCGTACTGGACGAAGACGAGGAAGTCATGATTTTTCTCTGCGGAGAAGCTTCGTCCATTACCACGACAACAGAGGAAAATCTCTCGACCGGTACTTCTACCTCGATTGATTCTCGACCACTCACTTGGATAACATGCTTGCCTGTCATCATCTACGAACGCGCTTCCTCATGCGAACCTTTACAACGGATACGCATCGAGAAGTCCCACGCCATTTCACGGCCGTTACGTCCTGTAAGGAATGTGGGACAGCTTTTAACCATCGGGCCTTGGCACGAGTGAGGGGCATATGCGTGAAAGCGCAGCCGGCACTACTACTTACGAGCGCACAGATGAACACGAACAACTACGAAGCGGCCGAACGTCGTGAGGTAGTAACGGAAGAGAGCTGCACTTGCACACTGTTCGGTACTTAAGCTCGATTGGAAGACATGCTTGTTGGAGCAGCAAGTGTTGCAATGTGTGTTTCAAACGTGGCAGAATTGCGCAACGCAGCGCAAACTGGAGAATATATCAGCTGAGCGAATAAATCGATGTGAGCCTGCGCGATGAATACAACGTTCAGCGACAGGACCGTAGCTACAAAATCGACGAGCACGCGAACGAAAAGCGCGGATCGCGTTTCGAGGAGCACAAAAGTCGAGGAGAGGATCATCTTCTCGGGGAACACGGATATATCCGTGTGAAACCGCGAATGAAATTGGCGCGCTTGCGCTCGATGAACAAATGTCCCTTTGACACATTAACTGTCGCGTTGACTTCTGTCAGAAAGCTTAAGGTGATATAAAAGCTTAACTGATGATTGAATTGCCGCATTTATAGACCTCTTGACTCATTTCATTAATTCTCTGTTGGCCGTATATCGACGATATTTTTGTAAGTGCATTTAATTATACTTTATACGTAATTTGAAACCAATTTTTCCAACAGTTAAATCATATAAGTTTGTTTTTATTTTTTCCTCAAATTAGAAAAAGACAGACATATGATTTAACTTTTTTTCAAGATATTGAAAAGTCAGTCTTTGAAGAGACGCGGTTACCTGGTTACGATCACTTTCTAACAGACAGAGTAAATTACATTAATGCTATAATTTGCCACATATGTGACTTATGTACAACATGCGTTATATGTACTTACACATTGTTGAATAAGAAATTATATCCTTAATGTAATATTAGCGTTACCTCATGTTTATTAGTCTGTAACACGTATATTCAACATATACGTAACGATATATTCAACATATTTAATAAATAACTGACTAAGTTAATATGTAACTATCTTGATCTGCGCCAAGTAACCAATGACAAATGAAAAAAATTTATTGCATTATTTATTAAATATGCAGAAACGCTCTTGAATAGATCTTTTTACGCTTTTAAATAAATACTTTTGCAAATATAAATATGTAGAAGTATTCAGTAGAATTTTTCATATTTGTATTTTATATTGACCTGCAATTTTCTTTCGCGTCCATTGATATTTTATATTGATGCATGTGTATTTCATTTTTTAAAACGTTTTTTAGTGACATGCAAAACTTGCGTAAGAATCGCGCTTCTCATAGTTCACAAACAGTCGTAAAATATGCGTGTTGTGTGAGACACTTATACACGTTCTATCGTGTTTGGTCAAGTGTAAAACAGCTTCTCGTTTATACACTGCCAATAATACTTCAATTCAATAGCTTTACATTGCGAGAAAATGTGAAGAATCAGATCGCCCTCGCGAGTGCCGGCGCATCGGCCCGCATTAATTGCACGCGTTCGTACCTTGATTCCTTTCGCTCGTCGAATATGAACGTGAAGCAGCTCTTCTCCGCCATCTCCTCCTGCCTAAAACGTAGAAACTTCAGTTCACGTAACTAGAAAGTGTCCTGCACTTCACGTCCGAGCGCGTCACTTTACACGCGGCCGCATGCGTTTCCCGTCAAATTTCCGCCGACCAACGCGCAAATTCTATCGAATCGACGTGCTGTCTCACCTAATTTCGGCGTACCCACGAGCGAAAAAAATTCTTCGAAACTTAAGGCCACTCGAGGAACAGGTAGACGTAACTTATTCATAGAGAACGCACGACGAGAGACTGTCGGGGAGAGACTGTTGCCGGTCACGAGATGATGTACCATTGGCTCCGAACGCGCCGCACACTATAATGCGTGAATGTGATGAACACGAAAGAAGAAAGGTATATGGAACATGTTTCGATAACAGGATCACAGTGGGAGGGGCCCCAACAGCCAAGCCATACCTGACTGCGCTATTAGCGTTTCAAATGATGATTTCCCCAAACTTTGGAAAGTCGTTTACAGAAGTGAAACGTAGTGCATTATTAAGAACCTCCACGTACTTCCTTAAATATTAAAAAATACAATTATGTCACGCGCCTAAGGAACCTTCTTCTTAACAAAATTCTCTTATATATGTCAGACGATGACACAAACTCATGTGTACGTGAAGATTAGGTGAACAAAAATATTACAATATATTCTCTATCATTTTGCAAATCATAGACTGAGAGAAATTATACGATAAAAAATTAACAAACGGATATTTCCAATCAAAATGCCAATGAATTTTTATATTCGATCAGGAGACATCCGATGAGAAATATCGGTTTTTAATATTTTAATAATTGTTTGATCGGTTTATCTGATGAAATGTTATTACGATCGGAAGTATTCGATTAAATTTAATCGGATATCCTGATCGGATATTGATTGGTATTTTGATCGGAAATATTCGTTTGTTAATTTTTTATCGAATAATTTCTCTCAATGTAGCAGTGGCGTTTTGCACACCGACGACGTTACAAATTCGACGATTTTCAGCTAATTTTTTTTTATTGCATTAACTTCGTACATTCAGATATCATTTTTTATTTCGCAACTCTTGATAATATTATTAACATCGATACAACACCTGCACCCGACAAAGTTCCTGAAATTTCGTCGTCGTCGACAATGATCGAAGGACACGCAATTATTATCCTCAATGGCACCCGAACTGCGCCGCGTACGATCTTAATTGACGATTTCGAATTAACGGGCAGCCCGATTGTTCCCTTCGTCTCTTTCTCTCTCTTTCTCTTTCTCTCTCTTTCTCTCTCTCTCTCTCTCTCTTTCTCTCTCTCTTTATCTCGTGATTAAGCGATGCTATCTCATATTCGAGAATTACATGGACGTTGTGACATACGCGTGGAAACGATCAATGGTCTCGTACGTACGATAATAAAGTGTTGCATCAGCTGTAACGATATATGTTTAACAACGACGTTATATAAATTAAATATACTCTGACACGTACACATACACACACACACACACACACACACACACACATATGCACACGCACACAGATCCGTACTCACGCCACGAGTAGCGTCAATTACAACTCGACGACTTCTGCAATCTGTCGCCATAGATAAGGAGAACACAATATTATCTAAATTATACATATTGATGGAATTATCAATAAATTAAACGATCGGAATGACTAGAGTTCGTGTGCACAGATGGTATACACAGGTATATCAATTTTGAACAAGACTAAACGGAAATAAACGTCGTTACCGTTACAAGTTATTTCTTTTCAGTAATAACTTGCTAACGACTTAGTGATAACTTGTTATCGTTATCGTAAATAAAAGAAACAATAAGTTATTATTTTTAATAACTTGTTCTTTCCTTTATTTACGATAACGATAACGAGCTATTTGGAAAAAGAAAAATAAATGACCTCCTCAGCAAGACTGGTCTCAAGCAAGATGCGCGAATACGGACCCGACTCTTGCAGCAATTGTCCTCTAACGATACTCTCTCGTCGCAACAAAGGTATTCCTGCCGTAGCGCGTAATAATCGTAAAACGACCAGGTAACGTTGAGATATCTGATTATACATCTGATTTGTACGCACATATATGCCCTACGCGAGTTTTGGAGCGTCAATTCCAACAAGTTGCTTATGCGTTACGCTACAACGCCTAATCGCTGCTCTCTTGCTGCGTCTATATATCGCTAATAAGTAGACGCGCGTAGACGCGTCAGTCATGAGGGAGCCATGGAATTTACGTCGAGAAATGCGACACGGTTAACTACTGAGCGAAACTTGGCGACAGAGAAAAACGCGAGAGATTGTTCCTCCGTAAACGCTGGCGGTCGAGAACTCCGCGGTCGATGATGATGAGCTTACCTCCGAACATTCCGCGGAGTTGCCACCTTTGACTCGACATTGTTACCGCATTCTATCAAAAGAACTTTCCCGGGTGTCCGACTTCCATTGTTCTGTCCCGCCACGAGTTTCTGTAACTCGTTTCGGCAAATTAAGGACGAATGTTGGACCGAAACCTTCCGGCCGGCAATTAATTCCCATCTCATTTCACGGGGGGTTAGGGACAAGCGAGAGCAAACTGGCCGAAAGATTAGTTCGCCGGTGGTGTATTATCTATCAAATTGGTTTTGTTTCTCGTTCCTTGTCTGCGAGGGAGGGGCGCGTCGCCATTCACAGTCGCGCGATGTGTTGCAGAGAGTAAAAGTACAAAAATATAATTTCAGGATATGTCGATATATATCGATGTCGAGCGTAATAGATGCGCCGAATACTCGTTTAACTCTTGGCATCTCGGAGCGCGCGAGAAAGGATCAGAGTTGTGTTCCGTGGTGCATAAAACGTACGCTCTCACGGACAGGTTACCAGGTACCAGCGAATACTTTCCTCTGCTCTGCTCCCCCGATGTCGATACACGCGAGTTATGAAAATAATTTGCTTGCAATTGACCAGAGTCGACTCTTTATTTATGCAAACTCATCAGATGTATGCGTCACGAGGGGTGTTCTCTTGCTCCCCTGATTCGCGAGACTCCCTTATAGCGTCGTGAATATCAGTGTTGCTTAAGTACACACGGCGAAATCTCATTTTATCCGGGACACGAGCGGATTAGCCAAAGGTAAATACGTTTGGGAGGTGAGCTTAGGAGGATGGAGTCAGGAGAGGTCTCAGCTGCGCGGCTTCTTCCCGGTCCTCGGGAACTTCGGCCTCGTGATTGCCAGAAGAGATGCTCTTCGACTTTCGTCGCGGAGTTCTCGTCCGTGGCTCATCCATCGATCCCGCGAGTTCGTCCTCGTCCTCGTCATTCCTCTCGGTTATCGCCTTGGTTTCGATCTCCTCGACGCTGCTCCAGCTGCTCTCGCTCTCACTGTATTCCGCCTTCTTCATGTTGCCGTTCACCTTCTCATTCTCCCTGCAGTTTTGCCCGCTATTTTCCTGAACATGACATTGCAGTTGTAGTAACACAATTCTCGAAAAATTATGCAATCATTCGTGAAATTGCAATTGACATAACAATTAACGATGTTAAGGGTAGGTTCTGCTTTAGATAATCGAGATAGGTTTCCACTAATTTCTTTCTGTAAATGAATAGAGATATCAATATAGGATTTCGACCATATTATTTATTTTAAAATCTTCTTGTCCCGTTTGTTCTAAATTATTACACGAGTTGCAATATTGTCGCAGCGACACCGCGCTCAGCATTAAATAATTTTTGTATATATTTAAAACAATAATAAGTACCCAAACAGCACAGACTTTCCAACGAACGTCTCGAGGACTTCTGTTCTGAAGACATAAGGACGTCCTCAGGACATCCACAAGACAGCATGTTCCTTGGAGGTCTGGGCAGTAATGATCGGAATCCTACATTGATATCTTTCTTCCTTTTTTTTGAAAAAAATGTGTAAAAACCTAATTATCGACTAGCTAAAGCGAAACCTCCCCTTAACAAACGTCTCAAAGTCAGAGTCGTTTGCGAGGTCACTTACCACGGCGAGGGACTTGAGCAGCGTGGTGGTCGTAGTTGTGGCTGTCGTATCCGTGGTATCGCTGCTCTCGCTGTTGTTGTTCGGCCTGGATACTGTCGCGAGCGCGCCTTCCTCCAGATTTTTACCGCGTACGTATCGCCGCGACGACGACCAGCCGTCCGTGCTCTTCGCGTTGCCCTTGACGTACTTGGGTGGCACACCGGTGGTCCACACGCTGGCGTCGCTGCTGCCCGTGCTGCTCTCGCTGCCGGTGCTGCAGTGTCTCCATCGGCGTTCTGTGCACGCGCGCGAAACGAGAACTTCGTTAAACGAGGTCGTACGTTGAAGTTCGACACATTCATTTACGAATTTCCATACGACGAACAACTTGCGACGATACGCTCCCGGGGTGATATCTTATGCCGATAGCTCAGCTTATCCTTTCCCCCTTAGCGAGAAGACCATATTCATACACATACACATACACATATATACGACCGTGGGACTTTGCAAGGGAGGAAGAATGAGAAAGGACGCGCAAAGAGACTAAAAGTAATATTAGTGATATTACCTCCACGCCCTTTCTTCCACCTCGCGTGGCTCCCGCACATGCCTTTTTCTCTATATCGATCGCGGAAAAATAACTTGGTATTATTGACTCTGAATCTCAGTAGCTGATTCGAACTTCGCTAATAAGCCAAACGTTTTACCGTCATTGCGAAAAGTCGTCTATTATAGATAAAAATGCACTCACTCCGCGAGATACTATTAGCTGAAATTGAAGCGCGTATCAGCACGAAAAGCTAGAGAAGCGACAGTCATTTTTCTCTATCTTATCGTATACATGCTTAAAGGCACAATTTGCATATTTCTCACTATGCACTATAAACACAGCACTTGAGCTCAAACAACAAATAGAGCTTTAGTACAAATGACCCTGACTGTCCTTATTTAAAAAAAAACATCTTGTATCGCATATTCGTTACTTCAAATTTGTCTCAAGCGAAATATTCGCTCGTCAGATTCGAGTTAGATGTGTTTTTTTCAGTCGAATCGCGGTTGCCGATTAAACGATTCGACTGAAAAATTCAGTTCTGACTCTAAATTCAGATCCGAGCACGTGAAATAAGTCTCAACTCACGATTACTTAATGCTACATCTCAGCTCCTTCCGCTAATTCTTTTTCTCCGTAAGATTTCCGAATTCTCGCGACACATCCAACAGAGCATTATTACTCGTTTCAATTCTACAATCTCAAACACGAAACATTGCGTCGGAATGATCGAAGCGAAAACGCATCTAGCACTACGAATGTTAGTATGGTCTGGGACGTACTTTCGCACGGCGGCGGATTCGTATTGGAGGCGAAGGGTTTCCTTAAGAGCGGACTACCTCCGTCCTGGCTCTCCTCGCTGTACGCGCGCGTTATGAGAATCCTCGGACTCCGCCTTGGAGTCTCGCACATAGCTATGGAGCATCCCGCGTCCAAATCCGCCCCGATAAAGTCGCTCCGATAATGAGGACCCATCAGACTGGCGGCGCTCGCACTCGCCCTCACCAGTTTGCTCGGCTCACCTTTGCGCGTCATGATGAAAGGATGACGCTCATATCAGTGTCGAAAGCTTTATCCATCAACGAATCAAGCGGTCTTTCAAAAATATCAATCTTTTCACTTAAAGGTCCTTACTCAAAACGTTTTCTAACATGTAAGGGATTCTGCTTGAGTACGACAGGAGACAATCGAGCACGATTTTACAAAAATATCAGTCACTTTACTAAAAGTCAGATGCGACTCTGAATTTGAATACCTCACGTGAGGCGAATCTCAAGAAACGATTGTTAATGCGGACCCAAAACGTAAATAACTGCGCTCGAATACAGACGAGAGAGTACGGGTGATACATCGCTACGGGATAGTGTCGATGCGTAAGTCACGTAAACCTCACGTACCTGATTCAGTGGCCGGCACCCTGAGGGTGTTACACGAGGCGGCGGGCTGCAATCTGCCGCGGTGGAACCCGAGATTATTGCTTCCGAAACTACCTCCGCTCCTGCACGAACCGAGAGCCAATAATGCCTCGCTGAGCCTTCGTTGCAGGGGCGGAAAAGGGAAGAAGGAAGTGTTTCCGCTGCCGGAAGGCCGCCTGGAACCCGCGACGCTTGGCGTTCTCGCCTGTATCTCCTGGAACACGATTCGCGCGGCCACGTGGAACGATATAACGACGACAATGACAATCATAAACTCGGAGGAGCGCCGTACAAGTGTCACACGACCGCGTGAGCCGAGCAATCTTATTTCAAGTCGCTCGTCTCCGCTTCCTTTCGGATTACCTGCTGCAGCTCCGACTTGGTCGCCTTTTTCCGCCAGTAATTCTGCACGGATCGTCGCAGGGTCTGCGATTTCAGGCCGTAGAGGAGGCAGTTGATGGGCGGCGAGCACGCGAGGAGGAACGAAGCCAAGGAGGCGAGCTTGGGGTACGCGTGGAGACGGTGCTGATTAGCCGCGCTGCAAGCCTCCCAGAGGATAAGTCCGCAGTAAGGAAAGTAGAGTAGGTACAGGGAGCCGACCAGTTGCATCACCTGGAAAGTTATGTGCCCGCGACATTGATGAGACCGTCGAACTTCTTGCTACGACGACAGCAAATATTGATCGCGAGGCATGAAGCTATTTATCTTCGTCAACGACGCACAAAAGAGCACCCGTCAATATCAAAGCGAGCGAATATATCTGGGAGACGTCGGGTCTCAGGCTCCAGAATAAAAGCTCAACTGCGGTCCATAAACACGAAAACGAACGTCGCGAGTGAGGAAGGCTTGACATGCAATCGTAGATTGCCTGTCGCGTTCATCGATTCGACTTGCTGACTTGGGATTCGCGGAGAATTAAATTACAGATTGGACTTTGACCACGGAGCCGTTAATTAGTCTGATTAAATTAGTCGGATCAATTCGTCGCGACCGAGCGTCGCGACGAATTGATCCGACCGATTTGGGTCTGGGAAAAAATCGTCGGATCGTCTGATCACATTTTAGACTGTCGCATTCAAACACGGAGAAAATTAAAAACTATTAGGTGGTAAACTTAGTTCCTGCGGTTTAATTCGTGTGGTACCCATTTTCCCTCCTTTTGAATTTTTCCCATTGCATGTAGACGTTTGGAAACAGCCATCGGAGTAACATTTAATGCTGCAGACAATTCTTGGAGCGTTTGAGTAGAGTTTTCGTCCAATAATGCCTGCAAATCGGTGTCTTCAAACTTTTTCGGTTGGCCTGAGCGTTCTTTATCATTGACATCAAAATCACCACTCTTAAATCGCTGAAACCATACTTGGCATGTTCTTTCCGATGGAGCATAATTGCCATAAGCTTCGAAAAGCAATTTATGAGCTGCAGCTGCAGTTTTTTTCAAGTCAAAGTAATGAAGCAGCACATGTCGAAAAAACAACTTATCACGTTCCATATTTAATCAAAAGAAAAAATAGCACTGCTCGCTTAAATGAATCTCTTCGCACTGAATTTTATTGACAAATGTCTAACCTTTAAAATGCAGCCAGTTTCAGATGTCAAAATAAATTACACCTACAACTAACGTCATCTAACTGTGAGCCGCAGGAATTAAGTTTACCACCTAATAAAAAGAAAAGTTAATTTTTTTATCCGTGAAAGCGCAAAAGTCGAGAAATGCATGGTATTACGGGTCATCTTGATAGAAGAGGTGTAGCCTCTTGTAATTAATAATTACCAAGCTTCTGTTTACTAACCGTGCTGGCGGCGCTGTGAAATCGCGGCGGCCCGCCGGCCGAGGGTGCGGTGACGGTCGGCACGAAAAACGGATTACGCTGATGGGTGATGGTCACCTGGGCGCTTAGGGTGACCTCGTAGATCGCGCTGGCGATACGATGCCGATGGTACCGCGCTATGCCCAGCACCCGTAAATTGCAGACCGTCACGAGGACGGCTGGCAGGCCCAACCCCAAGATGGCGTAAACCGCGCCGTAGAGCGCCGCGGCCCAATTGCCGTTCCCGAAATCTGGGGCGCAACAACCCAGTCCTGGACTATACCTGATCGATGTGGAATATTGAAAGCAAAAAGAGAGAACTTTGAACTTTGAAAGATGCCCCCTGGTTACCTCGAGGACCATCGCCGTCACGGCGCGGCGATAAATCATTCGCGCAAGATCGCTTCGCGAGATTGAGGCAACTTTTTAATATTTTCTACGTTGATGCGTGTCGAACGCTGCAGAAGCTAAATGAGAAAACTCTCATTAAGACGTCGAATAATTCACGCGCATTGTTACACAACTCGTTCCGCGATCGGCTCAACGCTCCGCCGACGAAACCTCCATTGTCCGGGTGAGAATTCTTGCGCGAGGAAGCAAGATGGCACGGAAATTGTCTTGCGACACGGATCTTTACTCAATTTGCGAGACAACTTGCGCGCACGTGCGAGAGAGAGAGAGAGAGAGAGAGAGAGAGAGAGAGAGAGAGAGAGCGTAAAGCAAATCAAATCTCCTTTATTATACGAGGAAACGCAATAATTACGAGAGAGCGGTGCTATAGAACGTAAGCAACGTCGCAAAATGCTGGGAGAGTCGATTAGAGTAGTGGTTAATTGTATACGAACCTATAAGGCGGCACCAGACCCGAGAATGGCGGCAAGCACAGAAGCAGAGCACCTGTCCAAGAAGCAGCCAATCCAACAGCCACGCGACGCGGAGAGACCAAAGCGGCGTAATGCAGCGGTGCGGCAATCGCGTAATACCTATATAGAATAATTGCACGACATGGTGGGAACCTGTTCGCTAAATTCCTAGGTGTGAAATCTCACTCGAAACGATCGGAGATCTCGGGGTCGCGAGAATGCATGAACACATGACGAATAATATGGAATATTTCAATTACACTCTCTAAAGTACAATCATTGCAATCTCACTGAAACGTTATACTTGTAAGTGAGGGTTCGATTATATGTATAACACTGCAGTCATCTCGCTGAAAGGTAACATGTAGCTGATTTAGTAACGACTGTTCTCATTACTGATGCAGTTTGCGAACACAGTATGATTGTATGCAAGTCTCTTTTGAGGTATTCACTCGGCGATTCGGAGTGGAGGATTCACTCTGAATACGAATGATAAATAGTTCGAATTCGAGCGACTCGGCTGCATTTTCCGAGATGGAATTTAACTTTTTAATTTTGATTACATGCTACGCAGCGCGCTACTGATAATTCTGCTGACAAAATTGAATTAATTAACGCCGCTATCGATTAATTGAATTGCAAATGCGCGTCTCAGAAATCCAACACACAACGTATATATAGGTATAATATCGCAACGCATCGTCGGCCTTGTATGGCCACCGCGGAAATGATCGACGAAGATGCAATTTCGTGAAACCGAACACATGGAGGGGATTGCGTAGGAAGCGCGAGGTGGAGTGTGCGGGGTGGTTTAAATCTGTTAAGCAGGGGATCCCACAGTTGAATAAAATATTCGATGGGGCCGATCGAGCCACGATCGAATCCGGTATAGTGCCTCTTGCTGATTCGGAAGAGGAAAGAGAGAAACTTTTTATATTCTTGACTATCCTCTTCCTCGTGTTCTTGAAACAAGTAGGAACTGAAATGTGCTATTACAAAATTTTCCGTAGCAAAATAGGCTTTACTAGTAATCTATTTTCCGGCGCTACTAGAAACACACAGTAAAATTGGAAAGAATTTATATGGAAAAAGAAACTATGGTATTCTTTTCGTGTAGTAAATTGAAACTTATTCACCAAGCATTACGATAAATATGAGAGTTCGCTAACGGGGCGTCTATGTAAACCGAAGTCTTCTTGAATCGTGTCCAAGATCATCTTCCGGCGAGATTTCCCTTCGCAACCGGGAACACGCTTTAAAACTATCGGTGCAAGTCCGCGGAAAGGATAAGCAACAAGTAGAAATAGAGCAGTGCGATTCTAGGTTACAGTCCATATCTCGAACGCGGGCGTCTCATATCATCTGACAGCTGCGGTGATACTATTTGTGAGTCTACGGAATCATTATTGACATCCTGCATCGGAAATCTTGTTGCCTTTTGTGTCGAATGAAGCCGAAGCTCGCTCGCTCACGCCGCTCATATATCACGCGCCATACATCGAGAGATTGAACTCGATTTTTATCGGAAGTTCCCGTGAGAGAAACTCCTCTTCGATCTCCCGCGGCTCCTCGCCCTCGATTTACTCGGACAATAGCGATGTTCTTTGCACCTTCGATGTAAAGTGTGCTGCTTAACGACATTCTCGTACGTTAGAAATTTTACTCTGTGCGCTCGTGTGTGCGTATTCGGATATATAACATGCAAAAATATACTTTTATTTTCATATTTCCCATTAGTCATCGTCAATAAACGTTACTTATGGAAACGACGGAAATACAGATAAAAGCTTCGAGTGATATCGAGCGTGAGTCGCGGAGACGACTCGATGGAGAACGCGCGTTCCGGATCAAATAAAGCCAGACACTTTAAACATGCATCGTGCGAGTTGCAGTTTCACGAGTTCGATTAACGAACGGAGGCAATTGTTAACAGTCGCGCCAATGGCCATTCATTAAAGAGCCCCGACTGCGAAGTGAAAATCGGCTCAAATGATGAAACTAATACCACTTCTTGTTTGTCGAGATATTTGCAGCACTGAACGCATCTACAAACAGTCGAGTATTGGAAAGGGAAAAGGAAGGAGAAGGATGAAGCGAAGAAACGTGATTTATTATAGCCTCGGGAGAAGGGAATCACTGTAATAAAAAGAATTCTGGAAAATGGATATACGAAATTTGCGGTGTTGTGCTTCGAAGAGCAAGAATGGAAACGAATAGATAGAATAGATAGGTTTACAGTCAAATTCGCGCGATAAATGAGAACTATTAATCCAAAAAACAATTGATCCCATACTATTTACTCTCATTAATTATTTAATATTTGCCTATCTTACATATTTTGGTTACGGTAACGCAATTACCTGATTAATGCATCGAAATTAAGAATAAAGATAAACTGAAGGTGTGTATATTGAAGTCTAAATCGAATACTGAATAATTCTTGTATGATTGTTTCCTCGAATGAGCTTGACTGCTTCTACGAATATTAAATAATTCTTGAACGAGTGCTTCCACAAGCTCCTTTAATATGGAAAAATTACGGCTGGCAACCATTAGTGGTATCTAAATAAGTTAGCTTTACCTGAAAGTTCCCCGTTAACTCTTCAAGTTCGTTGGAATTTGCAGGATTAATATGAAATTAAATTTCTCGACTCGGGAAACACGCGTCCGTCATCATAAGATAAAAAAAAAAGACATAAAACGTGTGAGCGCGAGAAGGAGAAAGAGAACGAGAAACGGCAAGACTTACCTGTCACAATTTAATCCCGTTACGGTCCAAAGGGCGACGGGATGTAGAAGCGCTAAGAGGAATCCGTGAAGGACGCACCACGTGCCAGCTACGGGCCAGAGGCCGGTGGTGAAAATCAGTAATATCAAGCACACCGCGGTTTCCACGGCGCCCAAATGAATCAATAGCAAAGTGTTCGCCGTTTGCTGTTGCTGCGTCTACGAACATAACGGGCGATTCGTCGATCTCGCCGGTTTGTCGCTCCCATCTGATCGCGTTAAGCTCATGTCACATCAGCAATATGTCTACGTGCGCTTCTACAATTGTCTTTTGATCAATCAGGGAGCTGCTGACTGCTGAATTGGTCAGGAGACAATCGTAGACATTAAAGTTCTTCAAGTAAGACGTAATGATTCCTGATTGGACCGGACCCTGTTCGCCATTAGGGAATAAGCGAATAGGAATGAGAGAGAAACTAATTATTTTTCTATGCGATTACAGTTACAAATACAAACGTTTTTCCTACAATTCGGAATAATCATACGTGCATTCTTTTTGCATACATACGATTGATTATTGAGAATTACACAATTTTGACTTTTGAATACAAATTATTCAAAATTGTCGAATACAAATTACTTAAAAAAGAAGACAATCGATCTTGTGCGCGTACTACTTTGAGAAAGCAAGATCCGACGAAGTATATGATAAACAAGATATGTGATAATCGCGCGATAAAAAGAGGAATAACGAATCATATAAATATATATATATATCTACTTGTTACTGTTCACCTGTTTACCAAGACAGAGAACGACGAGGAGAACGCAACCGTTTAGAAGGAGGCCCACAGTTGAGACGAGGATGACCGGTACGGCGAAGGCCCAAGGGCCCATTCCTTCTCTTCCCGCGCGTTTGGTGTTCTTTCTTTTTGTCTTGGGTATTCCTTCTTAGGGGAGAGAAGAGAGCGGGTGACGGCCGTTTAAGTGAATCGTTCGGTCTCGTCGGGCCTCCGGATCCTCGTTTGCGACATCATAATGGCCATTGTAACTGAAAAATTCATTGTTTCACGGAGAAAACATTAGGGTTATTACTTAGCTAAACAGGACCGCCACGACAAAATGTTAGTCATTTTTCGCCTTTGCATGCAAAATAGTTCCACACTGAGAGTAAAGACTGGTAACTATAACAAACTGCATTTAGTTACAGAAATTCATTGAATCCTTAGTAATTAATACTAAATATGATAATAATTACCAAATATTTAATAGATCGGGAATATGACGTAATTGCATTCACAGTAACATCAGTTAAATAATTTAATAATAGTTACTTAATGTTAAATATTTAATATAAAATATATTACAGTTATGAACAGATGTTTGATAATTGTTATGAAATCGTTATATCCCATATAATAAAAAATTCAGTAGGTACGAGTTCTATTTTGTTACTAGTATAAGTATGTTTTGTTGCAGCACAAATTCATTCATTTGCAGCTATTACATCGTTTCATCGTTTCAATATCTTTACATCGTTTCAATATCTATTATTACAGATAGTTGGTTGAACCTATCAAAAATTTTGTAACTATTACAAAATCGCTTATTTTGCTCAACTATTCAATAAGTTTTATTTACCAAATATATTCTGGAAGCAAATAAATTTTACTTCTGTCAAATAAATAATTTATTTTACAGAACTAAATTAATTAATAAGTATTGCCATAGCTTTGGCCCGCTATATTTACGTCTATCATTTAGTAATAGTAACCAAATTTTGATAATATTTACTAAATTCTTCTCTCAGTGCAGGTACATGGTACTCTGGTTAGTATATGGATAACCGCATATAACAGCAACAATTTTTAATGCAATATTTGTTATATACTTGTTTGTTATATATTTGTTTGTTGTAACTTGAAGTCACATAAATTTTTCCAACCGTAGATACCAATACGGATGTAGCGGCCATAACAATTTTCTCCGTGTAACGCACTCTCTTAATCGAAATAATGCTCTTAACGAACGAGCGATTCGTTCAAGATATCCCGTTACATGGAGCGTGGATATTCGTTCGCTACAAAAGCTATTAGACGGTTAGAGTCGGTCGGTATATTGACTTCATTCTGCATTCCCATTGTCAACATGACGCGCGCGTCTCGCATTGAGCAATACCGGACGAAGCTCGCATTTCGCACCGTTCACAGCACGTCGTGTGTAAACGATATTATCTTTAGCGGTCGCTCTCTGGCTCGCCGTTGTCATGAGCATCAGCGTTAACGTTGTAATATCACATTGACATCGACGTGATACAAACACCACGGGATGGTCAAGGGCGCAGTTACACCTGCGAGCCCATGAAAGGTCACATGTCCTGGATCATAATGTTGACCGAGTGCGCGCAGGGTGATGACGACGATGATATAATCTTTCGACGCGAGGAAATTAGACGTGTCATACGCGGGGAAGCTGTCCTTTCATAAACAAAATACGAAACAATTTCGTTAGGCAGCCGACAGTAAGCAAGGAGTGATCCTCATTAGTTGGGACCATCCATTATCTAGCCATAATTATTGGTCTGTTCTTTGCAGCTGAACTGCTGCAATAAGTTAGAGATAAGCATATTTTTTCTCACTTATTGCACAGGTGTGCACCAGTAGTGTAGTTGCGAAGAACAGACCGTATGTAACACACAATTTCTCTTTCCCCTTTTCGAGCAAACAACCGACAAGTCTCATCAACCTGTCTCTCGACGAAAAACGCGTACTCTTTCCGTAACACGTTGTTTTACAGATCACGAGCTGCTACCGGGTAGCATAATTCGATTACGACATCGCCGTGGCGGCTCCATTATCGACCATTAGCGTAACTCCGACAGTCGACTACATCGACACAAGCGAGATGCTGCAGCAGTTGCAGCAGCTGCTACCGTCGTTGGACAGCATGCGTCTCGCAGCGAAATAAAGAAGCGACCTCGTTCGTCATCGAATTTCACTGGCTGTTAATGGATGCAATTAATGAACTGCAAATGTATAACACTTTAAGAATCATTTAGATAACATTGAACAAGTTACAGAAAGTTCCATTTCAATATCTCTAACGGTATTCTCGAGTTATATGAGGAAACGTACAAACGAACAAATATACATATAAGACTGACAACGTCCTCTTTCTGAAGTCGGTTGAGAACTACGCTGAGAGTAAAACAAAAGAAAGAACAATGACTACTCTTATGATGAGTGATTTAATAAATTTTAAACTAATTTTTTTTTATTATATGCGTATCGTAGATATCTGTATTTGGAATCGTATCTTCTACAAACTTCCCTTTTTCTGGTTATCATAGGAACTCGTTCGTCTCGAGATCGATCGTCGTATAATTTCATATTTATCGTATAACTAGTTCCCACAGAATGCCACTAATCTTATAAAAACGCTGATTCCGATAAAATCTCATCTTCGTGAATCATCGTCCTTTCGAAATATACACATATCGATTCCGCGGCTGTGTATACGTTTGTTGTATGTGTCGCAAAAAGAGAATTTCATTCAGAATTTCACTGCACACGCGCGTCCCCAAATACGTGATCGTTCGTATTATGTAGGTATTTCCAAGAATTTATCGGATTACTTCCCATCGATGATACGTGTTATTACGTCAGGTTCCATTAACGCAGGACCTTTATCGTATTAATATATATTGCCAAAGTCTATAAACGAACAGCCAATTAATGAACATCAAAGCCCAAAGTGAAACAACGATAAACACAAAGTAAATTAGCAAAAGCCACGAAACAGATGATTGAAAATCGAGGTGACAATTTTATCGGGTTTTATCGAGAAAGAAAGGAGAAAGAAAAAGAACGACGAGCGCAGAAAAGCATTTCTGTCGTCTCTTCTCAATAGGTTATACCAAGTCAAGGTGAGGTGATGGGTCTTGAAAAGCTCTGCATCGACTTTTCAATAAATCCCTACTAAGCCAGGATTGCTGATCTCAGTACTTAATCCTTTTGTATTGATTTTCAAATACGAATATTTCTTTTGTATTGGTTTTTAAATACGAATATTTAAACTTTCAACAAAAAATATATGCACAAGTGTTAAATATATATATATACATTCCATATTAAAAATTTTAATATTCGTATTTAAAAATCAAAACAGTAAGAGTGTCCAGAATTAGATACATGTTCGATAATTACTTTTACTCTGCAGGAAAGTTTACGTGAAAACAGTTCTCGACGTGAAGCTATTATCACGTTACGCTTGAAGAATCCCGTGTTATTTTTGCTTGAGAATTGGACCTCGTCGCGAGATTTCTTCCTCTCTCTCTCTCTCTCTCTCTCTCTCTCTCTCTCTCTCTCTCTCTCGAATCTGCATATAATCTCTTGAAATTCAAGAGAATCCCGTTATCGTCCGTTTATATCAATCCGAAGTCTTGAGAACGTAAAACGTTAAGAGCAGGGCGCATTTGAAGAAATGCATCGTGCGATCGATACGTCTATTGTAAATCATTAAATTCCGCATGATAGAACTTGAACTCTCTCTATCAGTTGGACGCAACATTCCCAGGATATCTTTCCCATCTATGATTGATGGACGAGCCATACGTCGGTCTGGTGGTAACCGAATGAACCAGACGTACATGAACGAGTAATAAATCTTCGCGAACACGTAATCGCGTGTTATTTGACGATTCCTCTAGTCTCCTGCAATTTTATTGCTGACGCGAGTACGGCATTTTTTTCTCTGCCTCTTTCTCCTTTTCCCTCTTACTTTCTTCGTCTTCGGCAGACACAATCCGTCATATTTTCCATTTATTATCGCCCATCTGGCGAAATCGCGATGCGGTAACTGTCAGTCCTCGGGGACGACAGGTTGATTGAGAGATTTAACAAGATCGCGAGGGAAAACGTGTAAGATGTAATTCGTCAGATAAGATCGTCGGAGATCGCTTGCTTTTTCCTCTTTTTCTTTTTCTTCTTTTGCACTACTATTTCGATACGTGTGCAGGGAAAAAGAGGAAGAGAGAGAGAGACAGAGAAAGAGGATCGATGTCTCTATTCGTCGAAGGAGGTCTCCTCCAATTCCCTTTCGCTCGATTTCCTGTGAAACCACCTGTACCGCACGATCACGCGAGCCGCAAGTGCACGTGCATCGACATTACCGTACGACCTTCCTCCTGCTCTTTTTTACGTGTCCTACTGACCGCGAATTTTATACGAAAATCCCATAATTCATACACGCGAGGCTCGCCTGACGCCGCCGTGGTGGATTCGCCGGGTCGCCATTAATCCTGAGCTGTCGTTTCGTGATAAATTAACCGCGCTCCACTCGCCTGTTGTAGACACTTATGCGCCGCGGGTAACAACACTTTTAGTCTCTCATTTGCATCCCTGGCGACCGGCGGAACTTTTTTCAAATCTAGACCTGACTTTTTTCACGTCGAAGTGTTTCGTCGATGTCGACGAGATATATCCCTCTCCCTCTCTCTCTCTCTCTCTCTCTCTCTTTCTCTCTCTCTCTCTCGGAACTACCGCGAACTGATCCGTCCCGACGAGACCGAACAAGTTGCCGATTGGCAAAGTCGATTACATGCAGCGAGCCGGGTTTAGATAACTTGTTGCGTTAAAACAATGTCCACAGCAACGAGACATGGCGCTCCCGGGAGAGCATTTATTGCTGGGATCCGAATCACGGTGCCTTCGCGGGAAAATCGTTTATCGTTAGGTACTTGTTGCACGAAACACTTCGCACGTCGCGTCGACAGGCCGAGACCTCGGACAAAACCAACGGTCAATCGATAACGAAAGCATTCGCGTATCTGGAATTCCACTTTCTGACGCTATGTTGTACTGCAACGAAAAACTTCCGTCTTAGGGAGCGAGCCCTGAGAGAAAAGGGATATAGAGTCGAAGAAAAAGATATAGAGGTTGTGGTGCAATTCTCACGACCTTAATTCTCCACCAGGAGACCCTCCGAACAATTTAGAATTAATTTCTCCTCAGCGGAAACGTCAAGACAGCAATTGGCTCTGTGGTACAAGCG